TCGGCTCCGGCTCCCGGGAGCGACGGCGCCCCAGCCGCCGTGCCAGCGCCGGTGCGGAGGAGGGAGCAGGAGCCCGAGCCCCTGGGGGGAAACCTGCGCCAGGGCGCAGGACTGCAGCCCTAAAGAGACCGGAGGGCCAGCTCTTCAGGGGCTGTTAGAGAGCCAAATTTAACTACGAGAGCTGCATCGCTAGCCCTCACCTGACACCTGCTCACACATCATGCTGGGTTTAATGATTTTTCTGTACTTTTCAATGCAGAAACTTCATGAATCATCATTCTTTTCCCCTTGTGTTCCTAAGTTCCTTTGCACAGGTGTTGCCATTAATTTCTTTAAACAAGGAAATAAAAATAAAGTCAAAATAGAATAATTTGTTTGTAACAGTCTCTTGCACAGTAAAATAAAATCCTGAGTTTTTGTAATAATAACCTCGCCAATGTTCTTTTAAAATTATAGTATGACCAGATCTGCAGACTTGGGAGACGAGTTACACTTTGGAACATACCTATAAATGGAGGCAAAATATTTTTAACACTAGTTAAAAATACCTTTAATGCTCCATTTTCAAAATTTGTGCCAATCTGCAGGTTGAGCTAGAAGCCAGCAAAGGGAGGGACTCGAGATGCGTGACTGCAACTGAAAGTTAGCCTGAGGTACAGTTCTAAGGGGCAGCACTGGGCTGACTCGGTTAGGTCCTGCAGTAGTGTGTAAATCAAAGCAACTAGATGAAGCCTTTGGAGCAAAAGCATGGAAATCACACTGTACCACCTGAAGCACTATCCTGTTAGAAAACAGCTCCCTTCTTACTTTGTCACAAGAGCATTACAAGTAAAAGAAATTTCATGCCATTTTGTAAATAACAAGAAACATTAATGCTCTTTTTGTGGCATGTTAAATATTCAGCAACAAATTCTGAGGGGAAGGGGGGAACTGTGCAACCAGATGCTGAACTGAACATTTCATCAAATGCTTGCACGTTTAAGGTATGGACTGTTTTAGTCTCTGTAAGAGTTGTTAGACAATAAAATGACTGACTAGTTATTTTTTACTCCTGACTGTTTTGAGCCCTGTATGAAACAAATGGTACTTTTGATGAATTAATGGCAGATTTAGGAGAATAAATTTAACGGCCAACAGTTGCATTTGTATGTTTGAAGCCAAAAAGCTTTGGTGGATCACTCTGCAACTCAGTTAATCAAAACACTTCTGGATTTTTCAGCATTGGTTTGGTATTAAACATGATTCTTCTTTAAGACCATAATGTATAACCAGGAGATGAAATGATGACACCATGATTCAAAAGCATGTCAGGGAGATGTTAAAAGGGTTTGCTAGACCAGTGCTGGCAAACAGTTTAAAACTAACAGGTGTAGTTCTGTAAAAAATAAAACTTGGTACTTAATCTCTAGTAATTCAATGGTAGCTAATACTTGGTACCTAACTCCAGGGTTGAAATCAGAGTGAAGTGCTGTAGGACTTAAGATTGGTTTGTGACACATCCAGCTCAAGACGGTGAAACTATCAACTCGGGCATCATTCACTCCAAGGACTTTAGCATGAGTTCACTGGGAGGGACGTGGCCATATTCTTTTTTTATGTGAGTTTAGGTAATGTTCTTGTATTTACAATCAAACAGACCTTCCATTGCTCATGATGTAACTCACTGACAGCAAAAAATTATTCATGCTTCTTTTCATATCACACGATGGTGGCAAGAACGAGAGAACATGCTTGTCTAACATAGTTTTGATAAGGGTAAATTCTCTGAAGACAAAGCATCAGCAATTGGAAATGGAAGGCCAGACATCATCAGTTCATTTTCCTTAGTGTAGCTACTGTTATCTTCAGTTAAGTGTTAGGAGGATCTTCTCTCTTACGCAGCTATGGCATCTCAGTGACTGGGCGTTTCTGTTTCAAAGTGTCAATGAGGGACAACACGCCTCTTTTCACGTTAGTTGTAACTCTTCTAGTCACCGAGTCTGCAGGAGGTGGGGGAGGTCGAACTTTCTGTGAAGGAGGTCTGGCTACTAAGCACTTCTGATACCGTAACTGCAACAAAGCAAAAGCATTCCATCCTTACTGTATCCAGTACTTTCACAGAGCACTTTAAATACAGTTTTAACACTTTCTCATTAAATACAGTCAGACCTCCATTTTGGCTGAGACAAACAGCCCAGATGAAGTTAATGGGACATTGGTCTGTCCATCTGTGGGCAGAAACCGTTCATTCGCACACGGCAGGTACTACATCATACAAACAGCCCTTTGGAAACTGAAAAACATGTTTTCAGGGTTCAGCTATTCTTGAACGAAGATTATTTTTCACTGCATTGTCAAGGGATTCTATAACACAACTCCGAGCAAAATGTTTTTGCAGCATTAGATAACTTGAGTAGTGAAAGAAAAGATTTCTAACTTACACAGATGTTGCAGAGGTTAGGAAGGAAGAGGATTAAAGGGGCAACGTTCATTAAACTGACATTTCAGCTATAAAAATGTTTGGGTTTAATTGAATATATCAAAATACAAGTTCCTATTTTTATCTGTTTTTTTCTTTTTCTGTCTCAAAAGTAAAGTAATCGCAAATTTGGAAAGACAATTATTTATTGAGGCAGTGAAAAAAAATGTTAAGTAGTATTAGCTGTCTTTGGAGAAGTCACTTACCATACAGGCAGCCTGAACAGCCTCCGACACGTTGCCCGCGTTCGGCTCGCACCAGAAGACGTGGCACTCGAAGTGCTGGTTTCCTGTGTCCATGATGAAGGCGAATGTGTGGACGTCCTTGCCCACGCCCATGAAGGACAGGAACCGCACACGACACTCCACCAGGATCTCCTCTTCGTTCTGGTTGCGGATCAAACGATCGCTCGTTACTAGTGGGTAGAGGCAGCACTGGGGAATTCCCTTCTATCTATCTGCATACGGAGACCAGTGACGAGTCCTGTTCCTCAGGGGTGGTACTGGGACCAGCTGCTGTTAAAATCTTTGTCAGGGACAGTGGGATCGAGTGCACCCTCAGCAAGTTTTCTGATGACACTAAGCTCTGCACTGGAGGGAAGGGATGCCATCCAGAGGGACCCATGCCAACCTCATTAAATTCAACAAGGCCAGGTGCAAGGTCCTCCACCTGGATTGTGGCAATGCAAAACACCAATATAAGCATAGGAGAATGGACTGAGAGCGGGCCTGAGAAAAAGAATTTGAGGGTGCTGGTACATGAAAAACCTCAACATGACCCATCAATGTGTTTGCAGCCCAGAAAGCCAGTTGCATCCTGGGCTGCATCAGAGGAAGTGCGGCCAGCAGGTAGAGGAAGGCGATTCTCCCCCTCTATTCTGCTCTGGTGAGGTCCCACCTGGAGTACTGCACCCAGCTCTTGGGCCTTCAACATAAGGACATGGACCTGCTGAAGCAAGTCCAGAGGAAGGCCATGAAGATTATCAGAGGGCTGGAGCACCTTTCCTATGAAGACAGGCTGAGAGAGTTGGGGTTGTTCAACCTACAGAAGAGAAGGCTCTGAGGAGGTCTTACTGCAGCCTTCCAGTACCTAAAGGTACAAAACCTACAAGAAAGCTGGGGAGGGACATTTTACAAGAGCATGTAGTGATAGGGCAGGGGTAAGTTTCAAACTAAAAGAGGGGCAGATTTAGACAAGATATAAGGAAGTTCTTCACTATGAGAGTGGTGAGACATGGGAACAGGTCGCTCAGAGTTGTGGATGCACCCTCTCTGGAAGTGTTCAAGCTCAGGCTGGATGGGGCTCTGAGCAACCTGGTCTAGGTTGTCCTTGCCCACGGCCAGGCGTTTGGAACTAGATGATCTTTAAGCTTCCTTCCAACCCAAGGTATTCTATGATTCTAGGACATACTGGGTGTGCTGAGGCACGGGCTTGATCTCCCCTTCCAGGCTATCATCAGAAGACCGAGGCTTTGAGCATTAGTGCCCAGCATTCTGCGCAGTTTAAAAACTGCTTATTTTGTGAAGAAACAAACCAACACGGCTATCATGACTCAAAAACATGCTCCCTTATCACTGGATTGTTATACACATGTTGATGTAGTACCTCATCAGCAAACATATACAACAGACATTCTTCAAAAGTTTCATTGTATTAATCTCTATGGGAAATGCTCTACAAAAGGATAATTATGTGAAACTCTGGTTTTAATATAACCCTTGGCTTCCATACCAAGAATAAGGTAAATACAGTTTAGAATTTAGGATTGCTACTTAGGGCTATATCCAAAATATTTTAGGCTCAAAATTCCTAGAAAGGATAACACTGGTTTTGTTTTAAGTATCTAATGAATACTTATAATAATTTACTTCTGAGAACATGCTTGAAATGGTAAATAAAGCTGAAGCTAATACAAGCAGCAAGAGCCTCTGCAGACTCTGGAAAGAAAGAAAATGCAAAATAAGCAAATGAATTACAATGTAAATTAACTCTTTCTAGTTGTGCTTCTGCATTCTTGTTTTTCAACGCTCACGTAAAATGTGTTTTAAACATGCCAGTCTGCCTTACTCTTTCATTGATAACTGTGACAGTAGCATCAGCGACGTTCATGGTAACTGGCATCCAGTCCTCTTTGCTAGAGGCAGCCATTAGACTTTCAACGGCACTGTTCAGAGTATCCATTCCTAAAAGAGAAGAAATGCACTGGTGAAAAATAAATACACAAGCAGACAATAAGAAAAACATTATTTACACATTGTAGTACAGAAAACAGATTGGTTTTGACTAACTAAAATTAATTTGATGATGTAAGGAAGGGTTGTGAGGTTGGTTTTCTTCATCTGCAAAACCAAAACAGGTGCCTTTGGCTTAGAAAAAACAGGATAGCATCTTGTTCAGCTGCTGCACTGTTTCAGTTCTCTAGGGCCCTTCTCATTAGCAGAGCTCAAATTCTGAGAAAGCAGCAGAAAGAAACTCCACCTTCTTGGCAGCTCTCAAAGTACTCTGATTGCAAAACAGATGTTCAAATGAGGCCCTGAATATTAGATGTCTTCATGCCTGACCGCATATGACTGGAGTCCAAGAGTTGCTACCCTTCAAAAATCACATGTTCATACCTGGATAGCCAGGGTCTAGACTTTACAGTTTATGGAAGGTACTTTGAAAGTCACATAAGTGTTACATACCCACAGGTTTAGCTACCGGTAGCATGCCCAGGTACTGGACGTGGAACTTCTGTACCAGTTCTGTCTTTGGTGTTGGGAAATCTACTGCATGGGAGCAAAAATCAATTTCTGTTAATCAGCATTCACAGCAGGGAAAACCACTTTTATTTCATCAATTGCATAAAACAGTTTACCCAGTAACTGTACTCTGAATGTACTGTATTGATTAAAACAAATGTTTACTCCTTCTGACAAGATTAATGCCCAATAATTTCTAAAGGAATTAGGGAAAACTTTGCATTACCTAATTCTTGATGTATGTTAAGCATAAGGTCACCTTATCTTGCTGTCATATGAAAACACAGAAAATACAGATTAATGGGTCTCTGAGACATAGAGACCTAAGTTTCACTGCATAACTATGTAAGATCTGGAATCTGTTTTTATTAACATTCCTGTTAATATATTACACACAGTTTACACGTAATCAATGCTGCTGTCTGAGCAGACAACTACACAGGCTGATGCATGGATTAAGAGCAAGATGTTTAGTATAAACTGGTAGATCTAAAAGCATGTAATTTCCTGTAAAGTTAACACAAGGTAGGTTTATTCTCCTGGACTACTTTCAAAACAGCAACTATTAAACCAGGACTGCTAAAGGCACACAAAGGCAACTTTTCTTCTATCATGCACTAGAATGTACAGAAGACCCTTAAGTTGGACGCCAACCACTTGCACCCCCTGCACTGGAAATTGCTAATATAGAGATGCTGACACCTAGGAAGAGTCCTACTACAGCTCCTCTGAATCCAAATTATTAACTGGAATATATTTGGGTTTTTACGGAAAATTTGACCAATTTCTCCAGTCTTAAATCAGGAGGAATTTTGACTTGGAGAGGACAATACGTGCAAGTAGCCACAGATAAATAAGACTGCATTTTGTTTTAAAATACAAATGTTGCAGAGAGGACATGCACAAGTTGATGTAACATAGCAGGACTCCACTACTGTCAACATCACCCAGTACATGTTTAATGTAATACAGGAACAGGTTACAGTCAGATACAGTAATTAAAAGTCAGGATTATAATCCTGTCATCTCCAAGCAACATGCTCCATTTTGGTCCATGCCAAGGATGCTAGCTGTAACACACAGTACCTTGCAGAGGAACATCAAGGGTGACATTTGTCCTGTCTTGCAATGAGCTGCAAGCCATAGCTTTAGCATTCTTCCGTTCGGCCATAATCTGAAGACAACAGTGATAATACAGCATTTTATTTAAAAAAATACAGTACAGTAGTAACTACAAGTATAAATTTACTCCTATTAAAACCCTAGTTTCTGAAATCTGAAATAAGTCAGAAGCTATATGACTAAACAGGTTATTCTTTTAATTAACAATTTTAATTTTCCTCAGGTTTATTTACCATACCTTAATGACATAAAAAGCTTAAGTAGTGTCCAAGCCTGGACAAGGGAAAAAAACCTCTAGCCATTTTTATCAACAGCAAAATTGCAATGAGGAGTAATATAGTGAGAAATATAAATATTTAACACACAGTGATCATTATTCATGTTCCTCTCTGGTCTATCTTCTGCTGTGTATAATGTTTTCCATCATTTTTATGTTTCTTCTGGAACTAAAAACCCCATGCCAAATGCAGCCAGTTCTTCCCTCCAAATGTATAATACTAGCAAAAGAGGAAAAGAAATAAAACACTTCAAAATAACCACTTTGGATGATTATTCCCTATAAATGTATGACTAAGAAGGGACACAGGGAAGCTAACAGAGGTTTTCCAAAGCTCATACACGAAGCATTGCTACCTGCTTCTTTATGCTATGACTGTTAACTGTAATCAGGCTATAAAAATAACTGTTGTTCCAGCATATGAAACTTGGTTTGAAGATGCTTCTAGCAAGTTTATGTGGGTGGGGTTCTTTTAATTATTTTTTATTTTATTTTGAAAGTATTTTCTGTTCCATGGATAATATTCTCTCCTGCAGATGAAAAAAGATACCTGCTGGTTTAGGAAGAAGCCCTAACTCAGCAAAGAGATTCAGTGTGTGAGCACATGGCAAGTGCTTCCCTGATTCAGGATTACATCTATTGCTGAATTATGAAGGAACGTGCTATTCTGTGCTACTGTTACCCATGGTTTTAAATGCCTAATTGCTCTCTTCTCCAAAATCAATGTCAGGATTTTCATGTCATAGTTGTGTGTGACAGCTCTGCTCCCTTTCTGATACCTCTGTGTATAGCTACCATGGCATTTACTTGATGGTGATCTCACTGGCTAAAAACAGCTGTGGTAGGACCTGTGCAGCACGCTGCTCCCAGCTAGACCTGCCAGAAACATCTGTGAGAATTGAGATAGAGGAGCAAGAAGAGGGACATAAGAGGTCTAGGCTTCTCCAGTCAGCCACTGCTGCAGTCTCCAGTGTTAAACTTCACCAAGCACAGCCTGGAGCTCCCTGGCCAACCTGAGCAGCTTCCCGAGTCCTGCCACCTGCAACTCCTCAGGCATCCAAGCCCAAAGAGAGCTGCCAGGCTTTGTGCAGTTGCTGTGCTACCTTCTGCCTCTGCCTCAGGCAAAACTCTGCTGCCCAGAAGGTTACAGTAATGCACACCGTGTAAATGCCTATATTCTTTGAATGAAACATCCACATCTACAGTGTTGCAAAAAAGAAACATTTTTAGACTATAGAACTGGCTACAGAGGGGAATTTGGCATCAGTGATTCCATTCACTAATATGAAGACAAAATGTAAAAGCAAATGACAGGCATACATTAAATCAGCAGAATTCTAAAACCTGAAGGTTTCCTAACTAGCTTTTCTAGAAGAGCTGTGACTGACCAGGAGGGCCAAGGTACACAGGGATAACCGATAAGGTTATTCACCTCCACAGCCCACTTCTCCTGTAGTGCAAAATGACATGTTCTAAGGAAAACCCAAATGAGCAGTGTATTTTTAAGAAGGGGGATGCAGCCTCAGATCCACTACAGCTCAATAAAAGAATAATAGAAAAAAGAGTTTCAAGTAGACTGGTTTAACTGCACCTCTATAAAGTGTTTCAATCAGATTTCCCTGCTGTAAAGGATCTGCTGCCTTGCTACTGCTCCATGAAATGACCGTACAGAGGACACTCACGGACTGATCATGCAAGAAAACTGAAATTAATAACCAGGGAATGGTGGCAAATGTGTAAGGTAAAATGACTGACAAGAACATGCCTCTCCAGTATTACAGACAACACTATCAGAAGCAGGAACTAAGATCCTTTGGTGTTTTTAACTAGAGTAGCTTAAACCCTCACCTCTCCTTGATTTTATTTTTTTTTCAGTTGGCAAGGTAATGTTAGCAGCTATTTTCCTGTCTGTCCCACAGGATAATACCTCTGCATAACATTGCTCAAGCAAGGCCTGATTTATTTATGACGTTTAACATCCCTATTTACCATTAAGTGAAACACCATATTAGTTTTCCATTTTGAACCTTCAGCTTCTTCATTATTCAAGAAAACCTTCAGTCTCTATATACACTTGTCCAATCAAAAGCACACATCATCTTCCTCAGATCTAACTGCTCGCCCTCCCATCACTCCCGTCCACTTGTGTCCTTTCCTTTGCAAATTCTCTAAGCTGTTTCTCATTGCCAGTGACATAAACTAAATTAATGCTGCGTACGATCACTGGTTGTATGTGTTGGGCTCAGAGATTTCCCCACAGACAAATACAGCTGGCTTTAAATCCACTTGCCTTCGAGCAGATTTCGTGTAAGCTTGTGGCGATGGCTTTTGCGGGTGTGTCACATCGGAACACATGACATTTCAGAATTCTTGTGTCTTTGTCTCTGGCCACGTAAGCAAAGTCTCTGTGCAAACAAAACGCATTGACATATTAGAAACAAGTAACATTAACTAAGGCACTAGGAACAGTAGCATCTCCAAAACAGCAAGTCCTATTTAAATCAAACAAGTCTCTGTCTCTCACCTGTCAGAGGATAAAACACACGCCTTAGACAAATGAGATCTGCAAGTGCAATAAATTGCATACCCATGAAACACACACGTAAGGTTTAGTGCTTAATCTATGTAATTTAAGAGCTCATTACAGTTTCCTAACACTGGCAGTTTATTGAACTTAGACCCCGTAATTCCCACTGCAATTGTAAGTACATGGGAAAATTTACTCAAATATTTTATTAAAGACAAAGCAGAAGAGAATTAGAAATTAAGAGAGAAAACTCAGCTCTTAAATGCCAAAAAATCTGAGAAACAGCACACAGTCTCGTCAGAGAAAAGTCGTATTTCAAAGCACTGTATAGTGTTTAAAATATGCAGACAGTAATTAGAGATCTGGTTGCATAAGGGAGACTTGAACCTGCTGAGCTTTGCTCACACTAATTGGCCTAAATTTCTGGCCTTATTTTTTCAAAAGTTAAATAAAGCTGCCCTACAAAAGAGATTTTTGCACCATACAGGCTAGTCAACACGACATAGCATAGCTTTCTAGCCTGGGTGATGAAAGCGCCAGGATTATATTTATTTGTTCTTAGGCTGATTAAGACTTAAGAGTTCTTCTGAAAAAGTCCAAGCGGTAGCATGGTGCAAAGAAAGCATCAGGGTTTGGGTACATTCCAATTTTGGGACACCAAGTTAAGTACTGCCCCTGCCCCAAGAGCCCATCACCACAGTCCCGTAAAGTTAATTTGCCTTCATGACCCTTTTGGGACAAAGACACCCATTAATCCTCATGTGCTGGGAACCTGAAAATGGCTGTGCAAGCCTGCAGAGGTGGGAACCAGGCAAAGCCAGGCTTCTTTCCCTCTCAGTTATCTTCTTGTTGTACCAGACCGTGCTCCTTGGTCTTGCACCTCTCTGCCTTTTCATGTCCTCTGAGCAACCACAGCCCAGTTCTACTTTATGACCCGTCTCCAAATTTCTCTGGGATTCTGCATTCCCAGAAGAGCTATGCTGAGTGGCTAACTACAGTTACATCAGACAGGGGAAGCTGGAGCTCCCAATAGCTTTATACACCTGAAGTCTCTTTCAGTGCCTTTCCTCTTTGCACGGAAACAATTATAAGCAAGATCCTAACTGGTGAAGAGACAGGAGGCATATTCCAGGCAGACAAAAAATGTCTTGTCCCTCCCCTCCTAAACTACAGGTTTTATATATGGGAATACTTCAGTTTATACTAAAGTCTCTAAGTATCCTGAGCACGGTTTGATGTAGCAAGGATTGCCAATTTCTTTGTTCATTGTCGTTTCCCAGCAAATTGAAGAATTTTGTTCTGAAGTTATTCAGGGAGAACCAGGGACTGTGGAAGATGGGACAGCTGAACTTCCAGCTCTGTACAAGATGCGAACATTGTCCTGCAGTTAAGTACCTTACCTGTATTTAATTCAGCAGCACTAGATCCTGTCATCAATGACCCCTTGCAACAAAGGAGGCAGCTGCCCATAGCCTGGGCTGCTCGGTGACAGAAGATGCCCTGAGGTTTCCTAGCTCCAGCCTGACCCTCAAGCACCTCAGCCACAACCTGTGAGAGCCTGTGGGCATGCTGTTCCTTTTTGCTGCGCTGCAAGTTCACAGAGATACTGAGTTCCAGCTGGAATCCTGCTCCTGGAAAAAGGATGATGCTTTTTGGCTCATCTGTACATGTGCCAAGCCTTGCTTTAGAGTGGTTTGTTCCTCCTAGCTTAGTGTTTCAAAAGCAAATGGAGGACTCCTAGCTGGTCTCTTGTAATAAAACTAAGAGAAGGGGGCATGGCTCATCTACAGCCTACAAAAAATTAGCAGCAACGAGGAAAAAAACAAAACCAAGCACCATGTAAAAAAACGTTGAGATTTTTGCCTTTTGAAGTAACCTTTCAGTATTACTGATGCTCCTGAAAGACCTGCAGTGCAGGTATTTGGAAATGTGCAGGCTCATGGAAGTCCCACATACAATATCCTGAGCCCTGATGAGACCATGTCTGGTTTGAGGGCTGTAAGTGGGGAATTTCCAAACACCCTAAGCATCTGGGATTTTTGTTTTCTGTGTATTTGGATTTAGCTGCCATTTCAAAAGGCCCTAAGTTGCAGACTTCATATTTTTGAGTCCAAGTATCCTCCCTTACATGTATTTTAACTGCAGTACAAAAGCATTTTCACTTGACAGACATGGATTTGTGCCATAACTTCATTAAGATTTTCCCCTCCTTTACACACAAGAAAAACTTGTTGGCAGTGACCATCCCTGTAGGGTAGCAAAGGCACATGAACAAGAAGACTGCTGAACACACTGTATTTCTGGATCAAGGTCTAATCTTCTGGATTGTAGACATAACAGCTGAAACCTGTGTTTGCATTAAAATAACACTGAATGCCATCTATGTGACCATTACATAGCTACTTAGTTCCATTTACAAGCATGTACCTCAAATCAATACTATTCCTTCACAGACTTGTTTACAAGTGATTTATGCATTCCTTTACAAGATGATCCTAGGAAACACATTCTGTGTTGTTTTGCCAAGTTGCCTGCACTGCACGGAAGACTCTTTCGATAAACAGATATCTGCACAGCTCCAGGAGCACTGGTGCAGTAACTAGGATTTCTAATTATAAGGCCACCACTTTCAAGGAATTGAGCAAATGCAGAAGATAACTTGACCCTTCTGTGAGCCATACAGCAATCTTTTAGAACCTTCTTTTATTGGTAATAAGAACTAAGATGGGCAAAGCCACCAAAGCAAGTCATCGGGGCTTAAAGGACATAACACCTTGCTAGCAAAACCCATTTGTAACAGCCCAAGAAATTGTGGTCCAACCCTTGATCAGTAGCTCTGGCAACACCCTGGCACACTAAAACTGCCTCAATGAACTACTGTGCTTTGCTGTAGGAGATCATGTCAGGCAGGGCACCACCACTGCACTGCCAAGTCCCTGATACATGGACAACCCCAAGGGCCACATGAGATCTCACCCTGCAGGGAGTTTATCTGAGACCCAAGCTCAACTGTGAGGTTCTTCAGCCTTAAGGGAATCTGTAAGACAATACTAGTTGTGTTTAGTCAGCATGTTATCTCCCAGTGGAGGTAGGACTCAAAGGACAGATGAAATAAAAACAAACTGAACAATTAAAACCATGTTAAACTAAAGACTGAATTCTGTCAGGATCAAAGATTTTGGTCATAAAGGAACACAACTCATAATTATTCCTTGTAAGTGGCAAACACCTTAAATGAGAGTATTTTCAACAGCATTTTAGAGACAGAGGTGGATTAGGGGTATCCTGCTGAGCCTTATTTCTCTCACAAATGCGAATTTACTTTTCTGATCAAAGGAAACCAGTATGGAGGGCAGCACTTATTCTAACAAGCTCACAGACTTTTTGGTAAGAAGGTGACAACAACAGCCAAATGAACGCTCAGTGACCTCTCTGAATGGCAAGACCTGTGTTGAAGGCATGGAGGAGGAGTCTGCTGAGCGTTATGGATGTGGCATCTGCAGTGGGATAACTCTAGGTGACAAGAGGGGTCCCCTTCCACTTGAGTTCTGCCATGGATGTGCCAGCAACCCTGTTGTTCCTTCAAGAGGAGGATGCTAACAGTTCTGGTGAGACAGACCTGCTCTGCACTTGCCAAAGGGCAGATACTGCCCACAAAGATGCTATTTTTAGTCAAAATGCAATGCACTGATCTTTTGATGGAGCTGGTAGCCTCCTCTACATACAGGCAACCTAACACTCTCCTCCATGGACTGCTGCAGGACAACTTCTTGAAGAAACATTGACATCTCTACTGTTTGCACCAAAGTCTCTGATATGTGGCCTGGAAAGCCCCTGAGGCTGCGAGAAAGATCCTGGTTTTGTCCTGTGAAATTCCACTCATGCTGAGTCAAGCTGAAGAAGTGCCAGAAATGCCACTTCCCACCCATTGGGGTGTTGGTGGGTGCTGGGAAGGAGCTGTTGGGGGCACCTGGTCCTTTCTACAGCTCAGCAAATGCTGCCTCAGTACAGCAGCAGTGCACATATTGCTTCCATCGAGCCTCTCTGGCATCCTGCAGCTTCTATAAATATTTCTGCATGTAACAATATGCCTCCATAAACATGGTGGTATAGCACAATTGCACAAGAAAATAGAACACCAGCTAGTTTTGACTACTGAGAGCTAATAAAATCCTCATGGTGGTGTTTCAGACTCACACACCAGTGCTTCACTTTAACTACCTCAACAGCCTGAACAAGGTAAATGAGCTAATTACATGCATGGACTGTAAATACGCATAAACCTTTAGATGATGAGGGCCTGCCTCAGTAAATCTGCTGAGACAGAGGAAGAAATCTGAGTTCTTCAAAACCTGTGGTACTGCATCATGTGCAAGCCTGCCAGCACCATCTGTTTTCAAATCATCAATCAAAATTAGCAAGGGATCCATCCTTCTCCCTTCTGACACTGCACAAACAATACTACCAATTTCATTAATTCACGAAGCTACCTAAAAGCCCATGCACTCACACTAGTGGTCCTACATCGCAGCCCAGTAGTGGGGACTTGGACATGGTGGTACTGGCTGGCAGCAGCTGGCTCCTCCAACTCCAGCAGGAGACTTGCAGCCTTGCTCCAGGCATTTCTAGGTCTTGGGAAAACAAAACCGGGCTCCGTGCTGCCTCTTGGAGAAGAAAAGTATGGGGTATGGCTTTGGGAATCTGCTTCCAGCAGCTTTAATAACAAAATAAAACTGAGGAAAAGTTTTGTGTTTCCCTATACAGGATCAGAAGGCATCAGCTTCTTGTTTGTCCAAAGCCTTGAATACCAAATAAGCCTGAAGACTGCTCTCTGATACTTCTTTCACTCTGGATCCCTTCTGGGTCACTTAATCTGTA